CCTGCCGCCAGTGGCCAGTGCTGGAGGCCGTCCAAGTGAGGTAGATGAGGCCGCATCTGTGCTCCTCGTGCTTCTGGTCTGGCAGGGTATCCGCATGGCGGCGGACGGCCTGCAGGAAGGTGAGGACTGCTTCGGCTCCCTGGGCTGCTGTTCGGAGGAGCCTCTCTGCGAACGCATGGACTCCGCCAAACGATAAGGTCTCCCGCGTCAGAACCTGGGTGGTCGCATGAATCCAAATCTTCTGTTCGAGCTCGCCCCATTGGCTCTGGGGGGTGTCGAGTGCTTCAGCTATGAAGCGGTGTGAGCGGATGCGGCCACCGAGGAAGAGGAGGCGGGCAGCCGCGGGGGCATCCAATGCCTGGAGCTTCGCCCGAGTCCCCTCGGAGATCTGGTCTACCTCGTGCACCCCGTGGATTAGTTTGGCCGAGTAGAAGTGGTCCGTCTGTTCGACGCACTGGGCCACATAGCTGGACAACATATCTCCAGCGTGCTTCTCGTGGAGCCATGGCGCGCGGGCTGCCGCGCCCGACGGTTTGGACTGCGTCCGGCGGACCATGTGTGCAAGGATGGCACGTGCGAGGGACTCGACGAGGTGCTTCCGGCTGCCGCGGCCCTTCGTGTGTCTGGCGCCGTCCAGCGTGAGGACCAGGTGCTCTGCCCAGGAGCTTGCCGTGGAACACATGTCGAACCCGTACACTGCCTTCGTGCCCTTGTGCTCCTCGGGTGAGTCGGGGGCCGGGTGTTGCGCTTCCTGACGCTCCCCGACGTCCGGATTCGCCCCAGCCGCAGGCGCCGGCGTGGCGATGTCGAGCACCAGGCTCCCGGAGATCATCGCCCTCTTGCCACTCAGCTTGAGGCTTCTGGCTTGCACGCACTTGGCTACGATGCCTATGGCCTTCCTCTTTTTCCCGGGTTTCCTGACCGACGTTGCGGGCTTATTCACGAGCACCTTCTTAGCTGCCCTACCTTTCGCCCTGCTGCAGGCCCTGTGGGGGGTTGCCACCGCCGCAGCGCGCCGGGGGGCGGCGGCGGCGTGCTGGGCCACCATGGCGCTAGGGGGGGATGGAGGAGGAGGTCCGCCGCGCAGGAGGCGGAGAAGGAGGGAGGCAAGCGGCGCTCGCCCCTGGTGGAGTGACCTTTTGACCCCGTCCTCCTCTGAGCCAAAATGGCTCGACCGGGGGAGCAGGAGGAGGAGGGAGGAGAGGAGGCAGAGGACCAGACGTGAGAGGCCAAGGCGCGGCGCACGGGGCGGAGGGCTGGGGAAGAAGGTGGGGGTCCGGACAAGAGGACCCTCAGGGAAGCTACTCGGGCACCCTTCGAGTAGCACTGCATAGCGTAGGAGTTCATTTGCAAGACATAGTTTAGCGTAGCGCATTGCGTCGCCACAGGGTGGGAGGCCTCTGGAGAAGACCCAAGAGGGAGCCAGGAGCGGCTCTGCAGGGCGTGGACAGGCCCCGAAGACGCATGTACTTGGGTGCCCCTCGGTGGGATCCCAGAGCATATGTGGTACATGCGGTTGGAAGCTCTTTTGGGGGGGCCCCATTGGGCCGCTGTTGCCGTCCTCTTCAGGGTGTCGGGTCAGTCCAAGACAGGTTGGAAGGGCATCTGGGGGCCCCAAGAGAGCGTGAGGAGGGCTCCAAGAGAGCCCCGACGAGGCTCCATGACGGACGGCCTTGGGTGCGTATCTGGATTAAACCGGGTCGTCGAGCTGGCGAGGACGACGGAGAGGACGACTCGGACGACGCCCAGGACCACGCCGAAGGCGACGACGACGGCCGTGACGGCTGCGGCGAAGACGACATGGGCGGCCGAAGACACAGTGGCCTGGTCCACTGATCTGCGAGGACGTGAAGATCGAAGTGCTATACAGACGACGACGACGACGAAGACGACGACGATGAGACGACGACGACGACGACGACGACGACGACGCCACGGCGACGCTGACGACGACGACGACGACGACGACGGAACGCCAGAGGTTTTCTGGTGGATTCTTGGACGCACGAAGCTGCCTTGGAAGAGCCCGGAGCCGCCTCCGGAGCGCGTCCGGGGGGCCGTTGGGGGCAGCCCCAGGACGCCGGACCATGTGGGGAAACTCAGCTGCGTTTCCCCACATGGTTCCGGCACCCGTCCGCAGCGCTAAAACGGTCCGGGACCGCTCGAGGAGCACCTGGGAAGCCTCCGTGGCGCACCCGAGGACGCCGGAAAAGGGGCCGGCGGGACGCTGGCGAAAGGAAGGTCGGGCCGCGGACGCCCCAGGACACATCCCGGGAGCTTGCTCCAACGTCAGGATCAACAACAGAACGGGGAAAGGCCAAGATGGCCCAAGATGGGGGGTGGTCCGAGCGGGGAGAACGGCCAAAGATGGCCCAAGATGGCTCTAAGAGGGCCACTATCGCACACGGTAGGCTCGCTCTGGGCGCCAAAAGGCCCCACGGAACATCGTCGGCGTCGGCGCGTCACGTCGCCGCCGCCGCCGGCGTGTTGCTGTGACGCCTGTGAGCGAGCATGCCAATGGCGGGAAGCCGGCGCAGGCGAGGCTCTTGGGCCGGTCTTGGGGCCTCTCTGGTGTGTCTGGGGCATCTTTGAAGCTTTGGGGAGCATATGGAGGTTGCCTGGGGGCGTCCTGGGCATCTCGGGTCCCGAGGGGGGGTTATTTCCGGGTCCCGAGGGGGGGGGGGGGCATGTCCAACGGCCCACTTCGGTTGTCTGTGATCCATGAGGGCCCGCAAGGCATCCAAGAGAGCCCCAAGAGTGCCTCAAGAGCGGCCCAAGAGAGCTCAGGAGGGCCGCAGGAGGGGTCAGGAAGTCTTGAAGATCGGTCGAGGAGGGCTTTGAAGGCCTCGAGGAAGGCGGCAAGAGCATCCCGAGGGAAATGCTGCATAGTGAAATGTCAGGGAAGGATTTTGGTGTGAGATCAATTGGCCAGGCGATTGCAGTCGAGGTACTGCTGGCGCAAGACAGCGGGCAGCTCAGAGGACGCCCAGTGAGATGAGAAGTCATCGGGGACGCCTGGGTGGAGTTCGGCGGCCCGGAAATGGACGGGCTCTTCCCACCAGAGAGCCACCCAGTACGGGTAGTCCGAGTCTTCAGCACCAACGTTGTAGAGACAGCTGCGCGCTTGCGCGGGGACGTGGTTCCGGAACAGAAGGATGCCCAGGTTGAGTGAGTCGCTCAAGCTACGGACGTCCGTGTGCGTCCCCCAATGCATGTTGCCAGGTTGGCTGGCATACTGAGATAAAGACGCTCGCAAATATCGTAGGCACCGTGCTCCGTCGGGTAAGTGAACAATAAGCTCTCTGCTGGGACCAGCCCCCCGCTGAGCTGTAGTGACCGCTACTCGCGCCAGGGCACCTCCGTCTGCCTTTGCTTCAAACGCGAGAACGCTGTCGGCGTCAGCCAAGGAGCTGAGGGAGCAGCGAGACAACAGTGCGTGAGGGTCCCATGCGTCCACGTGCACCCCCGTTCGCTGCTGCATGCAAGCGGAGACTGCGAAATCCAGCACTTGCTCGGGGGACCACCGCAGGAAGACGTCAGCCGAGAGGGATCGCAAAAAGCGCATCACAGAGGTTTTTCCTTCAATGAACACTTCGCTTGGCATGCGTTCCAAGACGCGTCGAGCTGCAGGTCCGCCTTTCAGGAGCATCTGGGCCAAGACGCCAGCAAGGCTGTAATAAAGGCAATCCCCGCCGCCACCATACTCGACGCTGCGCAGCGAGCACGTCGCACCAGGGGCGCCGCGGGGCAATGCCTCGAGGTAAGTACGTAGTCCGTCTGCAACAGGGCGGGGGGCACCGCGTGCCCATTGCAGGGCCTGCTCCTTCTCCGAGAGAGTTGCTTCGAGGAAGAAGAAGCCGATGCGCGCGTCGGGACTGCTGGTGCTGGGGCCGCGTGCCGGGCATGAAGCAGCCGCGGATGCAGGCATGTCACCAGCTGGCGCTGTCTGGCTGTGGAGGGCGGCAGCGTTGGAAGCGTTGTCGGGCTCGTTCGCCGGTCGGTCGGTCGGATTCCCTGGGTCGTTCAGCGGGGCTCGTGGCTGTCGGATGCGTGCGTTGCCGTCGACGTCCTGCGGCGGTGCTGGGCCGTTTTCTGCGATGTCATCGGCCTCGTGGACGTTGCCCGCATGGGCGCCGACGTGTCCACTGGGCACGGTGGGCGAGCAATCGCCCGTGCGATTGCCAGCGTCATGCCGTGGGGTTCGCGATGCACCTGGGGACGTTTGTGGAGTGTGGGCGGCTGGATTGCGCGGAGTCCGCTGAGCGGTGCTCGCGGCGTCGCCTGCACTGGCGGCCGATGTCGCGGGTGTCAACAGCGCCCCCGACCACACGACGTTCTCGGCGTACACCCCTGCTCGGACAGTGTCGGACTCAACGCGGGCACCGTGGAGCGCCGTCGTGGGGACCAAGACTTTCATGCAACATGAGCTTGCTACTCTGCTCAGCGCCACGTAGAGCTGCCCGTGGGAAAACACCGGGGACGGCAAGTACAATCCCACCTGCTTCAGTGTCTGTCCCTGCGCTTTGTTGATTGCCATGCACCAGGCCAGTTTCACTGGGAACTGCAGGCGTGCAAGGACGAACGGCAGGTCTGGGTTGCTGGGGGAAAGCTGTACGCGGGGAATAAATGCACGGCGGCCGGCGTGGGGGCCAGATACCAACAGCACATCCAGGACGCGCTCCTGCATTTCCACTACGACGGCTCGTACTCCATTAACGAGGCCGTCCTCGGCGTTGAGATTCCGCAGGACCATGATGAGGCAACCTGGAGCGAGGCGTAGTTCGTGCGGGGGCATCCCGTTTGGTTGCAAAGAGTTGAGAAAATCTGTCGGCCACAGAGCTGTCTCTGCAGGGTCGGAGGCAAGAATGCCGTCGACGCTGAAGTAACTTCGGACCCTGCTCTGGTCGAACAGTTCTAGCAAAGAGTCGTTGAGCTCGTCTGCGGAGCCGTTCGTGGGGCGAGCACGGCCCGATCACAGAAGTAGGTCCAAGCGGTGCCACCTGGCTCAGGGCGCGCGCAGCTCGCACTTCGGGCGACGAGGTCGGGGAAGACGGCCATGCACAGCTCCGTGGGCGGCGTGTCGCTCGCCATCACAATGTCGTCGGGTAAGCGCAGGGACTGGGGGCCGATCTGTGGACACGCGGGCTCTGTCCCGTTTCCCACTCGCAGGAGGAACTCTTGCCAGGCCGCGCCCCTTCGGGCCCGCATATTGACAGTCAGCGAGTGGACCTGGACATAGCCCGAAGTCCACAAAAGGTGGTACTGCAGGGAGTGCGATATGATCTCGTCGCGGGATGCTTTTGGCACGACGGGGAGGACCTGGCGGAAATCGCCGCCCACGAGCAGGATCTTGCCCCCGAAGGGGGCGTCCGAGTCCATCAAGTCGCGCAAGAGGTCGCCCACGCATTGCAGTGCCTCTCGGGGCGCCATCGGCGCCTCGCCCCACACGATTACCGCCGCGCGCCGAAGCACCGCTGCCCGTGCAGACGCGGCGGCAATGTTGCTCTGCACGTCCTCAGTCGGCAGAGGCACTGGCAGACCGAAACGGCTGTGACACGCACGACCGCCCTCGAGCAGCAGCGCCGCGATGCCGCTCCAGGCGCACGCCAAGGCCACATCGCCCTTGCCGCGCGCGAGGTCGATGACCGCCCGATACACGAAGGTCTCCCCTGTGCCGCCAGGCCCGTCCAAGCATCCGCTGCCCAGTCCAGTCTGGGACCTGGGCGAGCACGAGACGGGAGTTGAACGCTCTGCGACGCGGAGTGCACGCGGGGCTGGAGGGGGGGGGGGCGGCGCATGGCAGGGCGTTCGTCGCACGCGAAGGCCCGGGTCACCTGGGGGTGAGCCAGGGGCAGAAGGAAAGGCCCTTCGTCAGAAGCTCGCGCGCACAGACATCCCCGCGGGGGACGGGGGGGCGGCGGCGAGCGGAGCTTTGGGATATGCAGGTGCCGTTGCCATCGGCGAGCGCGGCAGCGACGGCGTCGAAAACCGCTGCCTGGCCAGCGTTCATCTGGGACCTCGCCTCCGAGGCTCTCTGGGCGCAAGCACAGCGGTCGCACGCCTGCTCTCGGAGACGGTCCCGCTGGATTTTCTCAGGCGCGAGGCTCGTCGGAGGGGAGGGCAGGTTGAAATGTGCCAGCGTCTTGCCGGCCTGGCAGGGCGGGCGGGGAACTCTGGGGCCGGCCAAGTGGGCTTCCGAGGAGCGAGGGCGTCGGGTGGACCACAAAGACAACGAAGAGACGGTTCAGAAGGCGGGGGCAGCGATTCGCAGGAGCGCCTTTGCGAACAAGGCTTCTGGGTTTGCAGTGGGACTTCGGGGGGAGAGGAGAGATGTTTGCGATTCCCAAGCCTGCGCCAGGAGAGACTGCAAGTGGACCAGGGCGTGGTTGGCGGCCGTAGCAGCGTCGTGATCGCGCGCGTAGTCGTCAGCGAGATCAGTGGCGAACTTGTCGCAGAGATCTCGGGGGGCCCCGACGTTGCAGTGCAGGAGGATGACGGCGAAGAGGTTGCGGAGGCCTTGGGCCCCCTTGATGCGGGCGGCCTCCTCCAGGGCGGTTGTGCACTCATCGTCCGTCTCAGCGAGACCGCGCGCCTGGCAAGCAGCCCTGAAGTCATGGGCGCGGGCGTCTTCTGGAACGCCTTCAATGCGTGGAGCGAGGTCGTCCCACGAGGCAGCTCCGCGGACGTGCAGGAGCAGCAAGTACAGATACCACCGCTGGCCTTCGGCCGGCGTGGACGCATGCAAACGACCGAGGACGTCGGCCGACGGTGTCTGCCGAGATCGGCGTTTCCATTTCGTGGAGCCTCGGTCCCACGTGAAGTACCTGGGCACATCGACGTAGAGGAGGTCCTGCGGCGCCGGTGCCTGTCCATCTGGGAGGGCGGAGTTGAGCTCAAACCATGCTGTCAATATGGTCTGCTTGCCGTCGCTGAGCGCCTGCGCTTCGCCGCCTGCGTGGAAGCGCAGCCGGTGAAGGCCCGGCAGGTGGACCGCCAAGTGCTGCACGGTGTGGGACTTACACTGTATAGGAAAAGTCAACAGTCGCCAAGTGGATTCTGATGGGCCGACGTAACGTGTGTCGATGTACTGCTGCACTTCGTCTGCCTGCACGCTGAGGACGGCGCGATCGTGGCCCTTGTGAATATACTTGTAGAGATATTTCACGGACTTGAGAGAAGCGCAGTGCTCTATGTTCAGGTGGCAACCCAGCTTACGCGACAGCACGGGGCTGCAAGGGACGACGTCCCCGGCGTCGATCAAGTGGCCGTTTTTAACGGCCGTCCCGCTGGGAGCCCTCCGGCGGTACAGGGGGTAGCCTTGGACATTCATGCACGTCTCCTCCTGGAAGTCCCGTGGATATCGCTTCGTGCAGCGCCCGTCCTCCATGCAGGGGCACGAAGGGTTCCGGGCCCCGCATGGGCCGTGGATCTGGCTGGTGAGGATCAGCTGCAAGAGCTCTGCGTGGGCGGGGTTATGTGGGTCTGGCAGCTCGGCTACAGTGCGTTCGTCCAGCTCGTCTGGCGTGAGAGGTCGGTCCTCCTTGCGCACTATGATGAGAGCGTGGACGTGGGGGAGCCCGCGCTTCTGGAATTCGACCACCCACGTGTACGCCTTGACGACGCCGAGAGCGTGGCGAAAGAGAAGGAGGTCCATGAGCACATCGAGCTTCATTTTGAAAACACGGGAGATAATGTCTGGGCGATCGTTGGCCGTCTCTCCCGGTCGAAGCTCGCGAGTAATCTCTGGCCATGCCGGGTTCGCCGTCATCGTGATGAAGTAGTCTGGCTTCCCATGGTGTTTACCAATCGTCATGGCGTCGAGGTAGTGCTGGAGCATGTTGCGCGGGCTTCCAGAATACGCGGCTGGCAGAATGACTCGGGTTCCGACCTTGGTGGTCCCGGCTTGGAATGTGTCGTCTGCGAGGGCGTCAACGATGCCCTGGTACGTCTCCGCGCGCAAGTCGGCCTGGTGGTTGCGGATCCACCATAGTCTCTGGGATTCTGCCCGACTCCACGCGTCGCAGACCCACATTTGGAACAAGAGGCCGGCGGAATGTGGTAATCCGACGTTCGTCGCGGGCCAAGGGCCCGGTGTCTCCGCGTCGTCGCCAGGGTCGTAGTCCCGCAACATGAGACGGCACGCATAAAAGGCAGAGCAAGTCAGTTTTCGTGCGGCGCGGCCCGGCGCTGAGTTGAGGCGCAAGTCCGAATGCCAGCTGGGGTCGCCGTAGGGGAACAAGAGAGGGCACGCCAAAGGGTCTAGGTGCTCGCATGCGTCGTTGAGGCGGTGCACGTCGTGAGCTTCGTCCCGAGGCCACACGGCAATGTCGCGGTGCCCGATCAAGTTGCCGTCGGTTCCCGCGAACAAGATAGACGGCTCGAAAGTGCGGGGCTTGTTGCACCTGCGCACGTCGTGATCTCTGTCGCTCTGGATCGCCATGTGTACCTCTGGCCTGCCGTTCGCCTCGAGCACATCGCGCATGGCGCGGTAGATGGGCACGCACGGGTTTAATGTGTCCAGCATGTCCTGCAGCTCGAGCATGACTGCTGCATCGATGCGGTCATTCCTGCGGTTGGCGGCGCGGAAGTGCAATGCGTCGGCAGGATCGTAGAGGCACAGCTGAGCGCACTGAGGGCCGGACGTGTCTTGCGGGAAGAGGGCCCCGGAGAAGTGGCACGCGACGCCGTGGCCTGAGCGAGCGGGTCTCGGGGGGGGGGCCGCGCGCGGAGGAGGAAGCGATCAGGGGGCCATCGCGCAGGGAGGATGATCTGCAGAGCGGGGGTAGTGCGGGGATAAGATCGGTCGGTCGAAAGGCGCACTACGCGAGCTGCACTTGATCACTGGAGGACCCGCACCTCCTCGGAGCTCGTGGAAGCAGTCAGCCCCGTACGAGACGAAGGAGAAGGCACTGTTGTAATGTTCGAAGTGGTCGCGAGCAATGCGGTCGGTCGAGGTGGCCCCAGAGAGGATGCGAAGGACGACGTCGGGCGGGCGTGGCTGAGGTCGGAGGACAGAGTGCGGCACAGCGCCTCGTTGGCAGCAGATGCTGAAGTAGCCCTGGCGACGGCCATGGTTGGACCCGACGCGCTCTTCGGGGAAGTTGCACGACCCGCATATCTCGCACTTGTCTGTCATGCGGCCTCCCAAGTGCGGCTCCACGCCGGTGTCGGCGTAGTCGGCAAGTGGAAGCACGGCCAGTTGATCTCCGCGGACGCGGCGGGCATGTTGCGGGCAGAACCATCCGCTCCCGAGCCGTATGACGCCGGCGAGCTGGCAGCCATGCCCCCATGAACAGGCCACGGCGGTCGGGTGCGCGGGCGCCGCGGGGGGGGCGGTCTGCTTCCCTCGCAGGCGCCGTCGCTTAGATGGTGGGCCGATGTGAGGGTCCGGTAACAGGGGTCCGACATCCCCCAGCGGAGCGCCCGATGCAGCCGCCAGCGTCGGCGTGGAGGTTGGCACCTGTCCCAGGCGCGACGCGAGGGCGCCACGGGCGAGGATGTCCCGGCGCAGGCGGCAGTAGTAGACACCAGAGTGCGGCTGAAGCAGAGCGGCTCTCCCACACTGCTCGGCAGTGCCTGGGTTGACGATGAAGCTGCACGTCTGCCCATGGCGGCGCGTCCACGACCACCCAGGTAGGGCAGAGAGCCGGGCGCATTCAGGGGGGCACTCCCCTGGCTCATGGCGAGCGTGGGCTGCGCGCTCTCTGGTGAGCCACCCGGCAAGTTTCGATGCGGTGGACGATCGGGACGGCGTGGCGATGGTGGACGGGTACGCGCCGCCGTGCGCGTCGAGCCACTCCTTGAGGCGCTGGCAGTTGTCGCCCCGGGCAATGTCCCGACCGCGCCAGTCCCAGCTGGGCAAAGTTTCGAGAGTGGTGCGTCTTTCCTGGGATAACCGCCGCGCGTCTCTCCGAGCGTTCTCCACGAAGCTTGCGAGTTGGAGTTCTTCTCGGCCTGTGGTGGATCCTCGCCGCGGGTACCTGTCTCCGTTGGCATGGAGCCAAGAGCGGAGGCTGCGCAGAGTAGTCTCCCAAGAGTCCGCTCGGACGTTCCATGTCCATGACGTCCAGGAGTCCAGACGAGCGACCCGGTCAGAGTCCAACTTGCCTAGGCGGTGCTGCTTTCGGGCTGTGTTGATCCAAAAGGCGCAGAAGCGTTCTCCTGCAGAGGTGCTCGTACGCGAAGGCCATCGACCGTGGCGGGCGTGCCAAGCCTGGACGCGCGATAAGCTGGACAGCCAGTCGGTGTGCACCCATGTCCATCCGGGAAGCGCCTCGAGCTGTGTGATGCGGGCGGCGGCCACAGGGCCGCTACGTCCCGCGCCTGCACGCGCGCGCGCACGGACGTTTCTGATGAACGTCACAAGTCGGAGCTCAGCACGACGTCGGCTGCCGGGCTGCGGGTACTTGCCGCCATTGGAGGCGAACCACTCGCGGAGGTCTCGGAGACTCTGGCCCCAGGCGTCTGCATAGGCGGTCCAAGTCCATCCGGGGATGGCCTTGACGACCGCGGCCTGGTCTCTCGTCAGAGAGGAGCGGCGAAGGCGCACGTAGTTCACCCAACGGGCGAAGGCACTTTCACGCCCTCGACTGGGTCGTCGGGGAAGGCGCCCGTGCGCCCGTGACCACGCGGCAAGCTGCTGCGCCTGTTGCTTGAATCCGAGGCGGCGAGCACTGGGTAATGCACGCGCGCTGGGGCGGCGGCGCATGGGCATGGCGCCCAGGCCATCCGCGCGAGCCTGCCATGCAAGCAGCGCTGAGCCAAACGGGCGACGTCCGCTAGCTCTCTTCTCTGTGCCCGGGCCTCCGTATGTTGCTCGTGCCTGTTTCCATGGACAACGGTGGGGGGGGCACCGTTGTCGTCGTCGCCGCTGCCGCCGTCGCCTTGCTGCCGCCGCCGACGAAGTTCCGAGGACATCGGGGGTCGCGGGCCCACCAGTCTGCCACGACACACCCTTTTGTGGCAGAATGCCTCTGGCACGCTCGGGGCGAGCGCGGGGGGCCCTGGACGGCCTTACACGGTTTAAAGATTCCCCACGTGCCCGCGAAGACATCCGATGAGAGCTCCGAGAGGCACCTGAGGGGGGCTCCAACAGGGCCCCAGGGGGCCCAGGATGGTCCCAGGAGAGCCTAAATTCGATGAAGAGGCAGCGAGGACGCCGCCGGGCGCGGGCCCACCATTCTGCCAGGGAAGGGCTGTACGTGGCAGAATGCCCCCGGCACGCCGTGATGAGCGTTGGGGGCTGTAGACGGCCTGAAATGGCTTCAAGATCGCCCATGGGCCCCTCTGGGGGCTCGTAAAAGGAGCAGGCACGCGCGCCGGTGCGTGGCGCTGCGGGCGAGCGAGGAATGGGAAAGCATAGGTGGCCAGACGTGTGTAATTCACTCCTAGAGAACATGCCGCTGCGCATTCCTCATCAATGCAACTCGCCTGGCGATTGTTTGTGGCTGTTCTGGTGGGGCACGGTGTGTGTGTGTGTGTGGATATGTTGTCTTTCGGCGCCCCCGCATTCCTCCGCATTTTCTGGGGGCGCTTGCTCCTGCGCTGCCGGCCTTCGAATTGGTCGACTGGCTGCGGTCATCGTCCTAGGGAGAGCGGCAGCAGCGGGAGCAGCCACGGCGACGATGGCAAGCAGCGGTAAAAACAACAGCGGTCGAAGCAGCAGAGGCGCGAGGCGCGCCTGCGCTAGTGGTCCACCTAGCCGATCATCATGCAGCTCTTCCTCGGGCGAACCCGTGGACCGGGCCTCGGCGTAAAGGGCTGGTTACGTCACCGCTCGCTCTGGGGAGCTGTGGATTTCAGAGATCTTGACGTTGCGGCTCGCTCTTGGGAGCCTCCGTTTGAAGAGCGCGTCACGGAGGACCTCGAGCGTGGAGCCTGGAGGATCCAAGTTCGGAGGTCCGACGGCGCTCCCCATGAGGCAAACATCTAAGGCCCTGGGAGCGTCGAAAACGCCTCTTTTGTGTCCGCGATATGCCTGTCGCCTCTCGTCCGCTCACCCCCTCGTGGAGGCATTTCTGAAGCCACTTAGGGCCTCGTGGGGGCCCTTTCGAGGGGCTTCTTTTGGGTCTCCAGGGGGGCTCTGGAGCCCTCTTGGGCCGTCTTGGGTGCCTCTTGGGCCGCCTTGGGACCGTCTGAGGCCAGCTTCGGCGCCTCTAGGGCTCTGTTGGGCCGTCTTGGGCCGCTCCTGGGGCCGTATGGGGTGCCTCTTGGGCCGTCTTGGGCGCCTCCTGGGCCGTCCTGGGGCCGTCCTGGGCCGTCTTGCGGCCGTCTTGGGGCCCTCTTGGCCCGTCTTGGGGCTCTCTTGGGGTCCTCTTCGGCCGTCTTGGAGCGGTCTGGGGGACGTCTTGGGCCGTCTTGGAGCGTCGGGAAGCCGAAAAGGCGAGGAGGCCGAAACCATCGAAAAACACAATGGAAATCGACGGTTTCTGCCGCTCGGGGCCCTCTTGGGACGCCTCTTGGGAGGCCTCTTGGGGCGTCTTGGAAGCCTCTGGAGCCGTCTTGGCCCAATCTCGAGCGTCTTGGGCCCCTCGCTGGGCGTGCCGGGGCCCTCCGGGGCCGTCTTGGGGGCCTCTTGGGGCCCCCTTGGCGTGTCTTAGGGCCTCCCAGGGCGGCCCGGGGCCAGCCCGGGGCGATTATTGGTCACTTGATCCTGCGCCCTTCTGGCACGCACTGGGCCCTGCAATGCAGTGGTCCCAGGAGAGCCTAAATTCGATGAAGAGGCAGCGAGGACGCCGCCGGGCGCGGGCCCACCATTCTGCCAGGGAAGGGCTGTACGTGGCAGAATGCCCCCGGCACGCCGTGATGAGCGTTGGGGGCTGTAGACGGCCTGAAATGGCTTCAAGATCGCCCATGGGCCCCTCTGGGGGCACGTAAAAGGAGCAGGCACGCGCGCCGGTGCGTGGCGCTGCGGGCGAGCGATGAATGGGAAAGCATAGGTGGCCAGACGTGTGTAATTCACTCCTAGAGAACATGCCGCTGCGCATTCCTCATCAATGCAACTCGCCTGGCGATTTTTTGTGGCTGTTCTGGTGGGGCACGGTGTGTGTGTGTGTGTGTGGACATGTTGTCTTTCGGCGTCCCCGCATTCCTCCGCATTTTCTGGGGACGCTTGCTCCTGTGCTGCCGGCCTTCGAATTGGTCGACTGGCTGCGGTTATCGTCCTAGGGAGAGCGGCAGCAGCGGGAGCAGCCACGGCGACGATGGCAAGCAGCGGTAAAAACAACAGCGGTCGAAGCAGCAGAGGCGCGAGGCGCGCCTGCGCTAGTGGTCCACCTAGCCGATCATCATGTAGCTCTTCCTCGGGCGAACCCGTGGACGGGGCCTCGGCGTAAAGGGCTGGTTACGTCACCGCTCGCTCTGGGGAGCTGTGGATTTCAGAGATCTTGACGTTGCGGCTCGCTCTTGGGAGCCTCCGTTTGAAGAGCGCGTCACGGAGGACCTCGAGCGTGGAACCTGGAGGATCCAAGTTCGGAGGTCCGACGGCGCTCCCCATGAGGCAAACATCTAAGGCCCTGGGAGCGTCGAAAACGCCTCTTTTGTGTCCGCGATATGCCTGTCGCCTCTCGTCCGTTCACCCCCTCGTGGAGGCATTTCTGAAGCCACTTAGGGCCTCGTGGGGGCCCTTTCGAGGGGCTTCTTTTGGTTCTCCTGGGGGGCTCTGGAGCCCTCTTGGGCCGTCTTGGGTGCCTCTTGGGCCGTCTTGGAACCGTCTGAGGCTGGCTTCGGCGCCTCTAGGGCTCTGTTGGGCCGTCTTGGGCCGCTCCTGGGGCCGTATTGGGTGCCTCTTGGGTCGTCTTGGGCGCCTCCTGGGCCGTCCTGGGGCCGTCCTGGGTCGTCTTGGGGCCGTCTTGGGGCCCTCTTGGCCCGTCTTGGGGCTCTCTTGGGGTCCTCTTCGGCCGTCTTGGAGCGGTCTGGGGGACGTCTTGGGCCGTCTTGGAGCGTCGGGAAGCCGAAAAGGCGAGGAGGCCGAAACCATCGAAAAACACAATGGAAATCGACGGTTTCTGCCGCTCGGGGCCCTCTTGGGACGCCTCTTGGGAGGCCTCTTGGGGCGTCTTGGAGGCCTCTGGAGCCGTCTTGGGCCAATCTCGAGCGTCTTGGGCCCCTCGCTGGGCGTGCCGGGGCCCTCCGGGGCCGTCTTGGGGGCCTCTTGGGGCCCCCTTGGCGTGTCTTGGGGCCTCCCGGGGCGGCCCGGGGCCAGCCCGGGGCGATTATTGGTCACTTGATCCTGCGCCCTTCTGGTACGCACTGGGCCCTGCAATGTAGTAGAGACGACGTTGGGCTCCAGCTTCGCCTCGCACATCTCGCTCAGCAGCGCCAGCGCCCGCTACCACTGCTCGCCCTGCTCGCACGCGCTAATCCCAGCATTGTAGCTGATGGCGTTGGGCTCCAGCCTCGCCTCCCAAATCTCGCTCAGCAGCGCAAGCGCCCGCTGCCACTGCTCGCCCTTGTCGCACGCGCTGATCCCAGCGCAGTAGCTGATGACGTCGGGCTCCAACTTCGACTCCCACATCTCGCTCAACAACGCCAGCGCAGGCTGCCACTGCCCGCCCTTCTCGCACGCGCTGATCCCAGCGTTGTAGCTGATGGCGTTGGGCTCCAGCTTCGCCTCCCGCATCTCGCTCAGCAGTGTCAGCGCCGCCTGCCACTGCCCGCCCTTCTCGCACGCGCTGATCCCAGCGCTGTAGCTGATGACGTTCGGCTCCAGCTTCGCCTCCCACATCTCGCTCAGCAATGCAAGCGCACGCTGCCACTGCCCGCCCTTCTCGCACGCGCTGATCCCAGCGCTGTAGCTGACTAGGGCTGACCCGTGGACTCCGTCCACGACGTCTTTTTGGAATGGTTCTCGGAGGAACGGCGGAGATTCTCCGGAAACCTAGAAAGCTCGGCGGCGGCAGGGGCGGCGGCAGCGAGACCGCGCCTTCGTGTCCAAGCTCTTGCAGCGCTCCAGCAGCTTTGGCCCTGGCGCACGGCTCGTTCGCCCCCCTCCTACTGGGGGCAGTTTTGAAGTCTCTCGGGGATGTGCGTTAAAGTCGAAGCCCATCTGAGACGTCTCAGGAGCGCCTGGGGAAGGAGGGCTCGGGAGGCCCTCGGGGAAAGCCCTGGCAGCGCCGGGGAGGCTCGCAAGGTTCTCCAGGGAGGGCCCAAGAGAGCTCGAAGAGGGCGTGAAATTGAATCGGATCTTAACAGAAACCACTGTTGGGTCGGACGTGCTCCGTTACGTTGGGGACGCCGTCTCGTTAGAGTTCTGCTGAACGCCGGGCCCCCTTTCTTGGAGGCAGTTCTGAAGCCTCTCCTCCTCCTCCTCCTCCTCCTCCTCCTCCTCCTCCTCCTCCTCCTCCTCCTCCTCCTCCTCCTCCTCCTCCTCCTCCTCCTCCTCCGCCTCGTTGCCTCGATCCTGCATGTCCAGGGCCTTGGATCGTCAACCGTAGACCCTCGGAGCATCGAAAACGGCTGTTGGGGCCTGCGTTCTGCCTCTCACCTCTCGTCCGCCTTCCTTATGTTGGAGGGAATTCTGTAGCCACTTAGGGTCTCTTGGGGGCCTCTTGGGGCTTCTTTTCCGCTTCGAGGGGGGCCTCTTGGGGCCCTCTTGGGCTCTCGGCGGTGCCGTTTGGGCCGTCTCGGAACCGTCTTGTGCCGTCTTAGGCGCCTCTTGGGCCGTCTGGGGGCCGTCTTGGACCGTCTTGGGCGGCTCTTGGGGGTGGCCTGTGCCTTCTGGGCCGTCTTGGGACCGCCGTGGGCCGTCTTCGGTGCCTGTTAGGCCGAGTTCGGGCCGTCTTGGGCCGTCTTAGGGGTTGTCTTGGGTGCCTCGTTGAGGGCATCTCGGGGTTTCTGTTCGGCCTCCTGGGAGCCTTCTGGCCCCCCCTTGGACTGTCTTGCGGTCTCCTGGGGGCCTCTTGGGGCCCTCTTGGGTCATCTTGGGTACCCCTTGGGCCGTCTTGGGTCCGTCTGAGGCCGTCTTGGATGCTTCTGGGACCAGCCCGGGGGCCGTCTTGGGCCGTCTTTGACCGCTCTTGGCGCTGTCTTGGCCGCCTCTTGGGCAGCCATGAGCGAATGAGGAACCGTCCTGGGGCCGTCCTGGGGCCGTCGTGGGGCCGTCTCGGGGCCGTCATGGGGGCTTCCAGAAGCGTGTCGGGGCGACCTTGAGGGCCTGTATGGCGGTGTTGAACGCGTTGCGGACGCAAAGCGCGGGATTTTCCCGAAGGATTGGGACGATTTTTCCGTGTTCGGGCTCTCTTGGGGCTCGTCTTGGAGCCCACGTGGAGCGTCTTGGGAGGCCTCTTGGGCCGTCGGGAGGCTATCGTGGGCGTCTCGGAGCGCTCTTTGGGCCTTTGCGGAGGCCCTATTGGGCCGTCTTGGGTCGTCTTGGGCCGTCTTGGGTCCCTCGTGAAGGCCTCCGGGGGCGTCTCGGAGCGCTCCTGGGCCGTCTTGGAAAATCTTGGGGCTGTCTTGGCTGCCTCTGGGGCCGTCTGTGGGCCTCTGGAGCCGTCGCGGGGCCGCCTCGGCCGTTTGGGGGGCCCTCCTGAGGTGCTCTGGGGGCGTCCTGGGGCGAGCGGGAAGGCCTGCATAGCCGTCTTGGACGCGGGGAAGACGAAAAGAGCGAGCATATCAAAAATGCACGTTTTCCGGAAGGAACGGGGCAATTTTTGTCTCTTGGGTCCCTCCTGGGGGTCCTCCTGGCCTGCCTTGGAGGCTTCTGGGGCCGACCTGGGGCTCGGTTGGGTCCCTCTGGGTCTGTCCGGGCGCCCTCGTGGGCGTCTCTGAGCCTTCTCGGAGCGGCCCGGGGGCTGGCAGGGCGGCCTGGAGAGCCCGGTCAGTATTTCAAGACAGAGGACCTTCTGGCACGCAAAGATCGCTGCATTGTAGAAGGGGCTTACCCGTCCATAACATCTGGCCAAGGTATTCTCGGGAGAGCGGCGGGAATGCTGCCGAAAGGCTAAGTACCCACATGGCGGTCAGCCCCTTCAGCAGCAGGGCCTCTTGGGGACCGTTTGGGGGCCTTTTGCAGCTTCTTTCGGCTTCGGAAGGGCCTGCTGGTGCCGTCTTGGGCTCACGTCGGTGCCGTTCGGGCCGTCTCAGAACCGTCTTGGCCGTCTTGGGCGCCTCTTGGGCCGTCTGGGGGCCGTCAGGGACAGTCTCGGACGGCCCTTGGGGCTGTCTTGGGTGCTTTCTGGGCCGTCTTGGGCCCGTCGTGGACCGTCTTGGGCGCCTGTTGGGCCGAGTTCGGGCCGTCTTGGGCCGTCGTTGGGGCTGTCTTGGGTGCATCTTGGGCCGTCTTGGGCGCCTCTTGGGCCTTCCTGAGCCCGTCTTGGGGCCCTGATGTGGCACCTTGAAGCGACCTTGGGGGGCTCTGTGGCCGTCGTGGACGCGTCGAAGACGAAAAGCACGAGGATGGCAAACGTGCCAATTTCGGCAGGGAATGGGACGATTTTTGCGCCTCAGGGCTGTCCGGGGGGGAATCCTCGAGCGCCGTCTCCGGAGGCCCTGGGCCTGCCCTGGGGGCCCTCGGGGCCGTCGGAACGGCCTCTTCAGCGGCTCGGAGCGCCCCTGGGCCCGTCGAGGTGGCCTCTGGAGCGGCTCGGAGCCGCCTTAGGCGCCCTCTTGAGCGATCTGGAGCCGTCTTTGGGCCGTCGGGGCGGCCTCCGGAGCGGCTCGGAGCAGTCGTGGGGCCGTCGGGGCGCCCTCTTCGGCGGCTCGGAGCCGCCGTCAGCCACTCGGTGCAGAAACCCTTCTCGCACGCACTGTTCCCGGTATTGTAGGAGAGATGACGTCGGGCTCGAGTTTCGCCTCCCACATCTCGCTCAGTAGCGCCAGCGCCCGCTGCCACTGCTCGCCCTTCTCGCACGCGCTGACCCCAGCGCTGTAGCTGACTAGTGTGAACCCGTGGAAAATCCACGGCCCGCAGATCCAGGCGTTGGTCCCGAACGCGCACGTGTCGGAAGCGCTGGAAGCGTCAAAAGTAATGTGTTTTTGCTAATCGCGCGAGGCCTGGGCGCGATTAGCAGAAACACACAGGTTTTCAGACACAATCAGAGTAAGGGGGCCCGAACGATCTTACAGAGTCCCTGTGCGCGAGAAGTTCGATGTGGGGGGTGGACGCGTGGGGGCCAGAGTTGGGCGTTACGTTGGGGGGCCTCGTTTGAGGGCCACGTTGGGGGGTCTCGTCAGGGGGTCATGATTGGGGGCAACGTTCGCGGCCCTGCCGGGAGCCATGTTTGGGGGCCGCGTGCGGGGTTCGGGGGCACATGTGACGGTCGCGTTTGAGGGTGCGGGGTTCGGGGGCAGATGTGACGGTCACGTTTGAAGGCAATGGTTGGGGGCTGTGTGTCTTGGGGCCACGTTTGGGGACGCCTGGGGGCTACGTGGGGTTGACGTTCGGGGGCCACGCTTACTGGGGCGGTAGGGGCGACCTTCGGAGGCTTTGTGTGGGGGCCGCCTTTGGGGGTCCCGTTTGGAGGCCACGCGTGGGGCCGACGTGGAAGGGGCCACGTCCAGGGGCGATCCCAGAAAGCAGTCGGGGAGCCCCGGGGGCACTGACCTGGAAGCGTGAAAAGGAATGGTTTTTTGCTGATCTCGCTGGGACTGTGCGCGATCACCCCAAACTGAAGGCATGGTCCACGGGGCCCTCGAAGCACGTCTCTGGGGCATTTCGAGGCCGTCGTGGGACTCTGGCCGGATCGGCTTCGGCTCTCTTGGACGTCTTTAGGGCCGTCCTGGAGCGATGTGGGGGTCCGGGAGCCGTCGGGGAGCGCTCCAGGGGCGTCCTGGGGGCGTCGGGGAGCGGCTCAGAGCTCTGGCAGGTCGAAGCCAGCAGAACCGATAGAACAGCGGTGAGGCCCCCGATACAGCCAAGGGTGCGGGTACTGGTATACGTAGGGTCCCCGAACCGGCTGTAGTGGCCTGCGGGCAATCTCGCCGAGGGCCTGGGTAATGGGTAAGAGATCTCGTGGATGTTGGTTAGGATCTCGTGGTTGGCCTCTCGGGAGCCTCTGGGAGACAGTTTGGGGGCTTCTTGGTAGCAGTTTGGGGGCGTCTTGGGGCCTCTTGGGCCCTCTTTTGGGGCCTCTTGGGGGCCTTTTGGGGCGCTTGGCGGCCTCTGGGGGGCCTCTTGGAGCCTCTGTGGGGCGTCCTGGGGCCTCCTGGGGATGTCTCGGGAGCGTCCCGGCGTTTCTTTGGGGCGTCTTGGGGCTTCCTGGGGGCCTCTCGGGGTGGAGGCCTCAATTTTTCGGTTCGGGGTCCCTGTCTTGGGCCTCTCTTGGGGCCTTCTTGGGGCCCTCTTGGGCCGTCTTGGGCGACTCCTGGGCCGTCTTGGGGGCCCTCTTGGGCCGTCTTGGGGCCGTCTTGAAGGCCTCTTGGGCCGTCTTGGAACGGTCTTGGGGGCCTCTTGGGCGGTCTTGGAGCGTCGGAAAGCCGAAAAAGCGAGAAGGCCAGAAACATCGAAAAAAACAATGAAATTCAACGATGTTGGCTTCTGCGGCCCCTCTTGGAGGTACACTTCGAGCGCTCTGGGGGCCTCGTGGAGGCGTCTCGGGCCGACTTGAAGGCGTCTTGAAGCCATCTTACGCGTCTCGGATACACTCTTGGACCGTCTTGGGCCGTCTTCGGGACCTCCTGAGGCCGTCTTGGGCCGATCTGGGAATCCTGGATCAGTCCGCGAGCGGTCCGGGGGCCTCCCAGGCCCGTCGGGCAGCGGCCCGCGAGCTCTCTGGGCGGCCCGGGGCG